TCTTATTCTCCAGAGACAACTACTTTCTTCTGGTATTTATTTCCATCTTTCCAAATAATATGTTTATCCCACCAGTGGCAAAAATAGCCATTTTCCTACCCAATATACATTTTCTAATAACCCATTACCATTGGATCCATTCCAACTCATAGTGATTCTGTAAGGACAAGGTTTCCAAGGCTGTAATATTTACAGAAGCAGACTGTATCACAGAGTGGATGGTAGGTTTGAACCACTGACCTTTGGGTTAGAAGCCAAGTGGTTTAACCATTGTGCCACCAGGGCTCCTTCTTTTCTTATAAACACCATTCAAATTTCAAAGGGGTCAACTGCGTGCCTCACTTTAAAAAGGACATTTCCCAGTATTCTTTGTAGAGACAGGAAGCCATGTAAGATGGACTGGACAATGAGATTTAAGCAAAGTTTGCTGGTGAGACTTCTGGGAACCTTCCTATCTCATTAAGATGGCACTTTTTGCCCATTTACTTCCTCCTTCTTAGCCACTGCCCAAACCCTGATTGCCTACCTACAGAATGGTTGTTAAATGAGAGAAAAATAAAATCCTATCTTATATAATTCACTATTTGTGCTTTCTTCTACATGCCTCTAAACTCATTGATGTACCATTAGTTCTTGACTTACCAACTTTATCATTGCCCTTGGAGTCTCTGGATGGTGCAAAGGGTTAACGTGTTCTGCTGTTGATGAAAGGTTGGAGGTTTGATTCTACCCAGAGGTGCTGCAGAAGAAAGGCCTGGCAATCCACTTAAAAAAACCCAGCCCTTAAAAACCCTCTGGAGCACAGTTCTACTCTGACACATATGTGGTCGCCATGAGTTGGGATCAACTTGATGGTAACTGGATTTTTGAAAACTCATCTTCTTGCTGTGATAAATGAGAACTTAACTCATTCACACTACTACACTCTGAATAGAATTCTATCATACTTTTTGGTTTCTTTATGCTTTTCAAATAACCACCTGCATCTTTATTTTCTGATTGATCAACTACTGATACTATCTCTCATCAGCCCTGCTATCTTTCTCTTCTTGTCTTCACTCTTTCCTGTACCTCTCAACTTATATCATTTAAAAAATAATTTTTCTATTTCCTTCTTTTATACTACCATGATTGATACCACAACCATTCTGTCTTAAAATTATTTTATTTCACTTTTACACCTGGATTCTAGTTTGGTTAAGCATAGAATTTTAGTTGCATGTTTTTAAAAATTTATTTTGTTATTGTTGAGAATATTGTTGTTGTTGTTGTTAAGTGCCGTCGAGTCATTTCCGACTCATAGTGACCCCATGCACAGCAGAATGAAACACTGCCCGATCCC